CGATCGGTCTAAGGCGCTGCTTAGATCACATTCCACTTCTGTGGGCTTGAGTCGAATCCCACTTCGACAATAAAATTTTATTCAGTCTTTTTTTTTTAGTTCTCATAACTTAAATGTATGAAAAGCTTCCTCGCACGTGCAAGTCAGATCGCCGAGCGTCTAAGGCGCTTCGTCTATGTCGCAGTCCACTTCCCTGTGGCGCGTGGGTTAGACTTCTGATAATGTAATTTTATTGAGTCATTATATTTTTTAGTTTTCATAAACTAAATGTAAGAAAAAGATCTTCAGGTTAAGATTCCTGAGTGGTCTAAAGCGCGGCGTTCAGGTCGCAGTAAAAATTCTGCAGGCTTAGTTTTCGGATTCCACATTTGACAATTTAGGTTTTTATTTCGGTAAACTCCTAGAGAGCCCTCTCCCACGTGTCAGATGGCCGAAAAGGCGCTGCGTTCGTGTCGAAAACGAAATGGCGCTAAGCAATAAAAAACCTTACAACTTAGGTTCCAAAACAATGTAAGGAAAAAATATAGCAGTCATAAGATGGATGCGCAATGAAAATATATGTAAACAATACAGAAATTTAACATTTAAGATAAAAAAATATAACAGCACTTACTTTTTTTTGCTGTTGATAACTTAAATGAGGGGTGGCACGTGTCACCAGATCGCCGAGTGGTATGGGTATCGGTCCATCGTGGCTTGCCTGGTCATTCGAGTCTTTTTCGTTCCCAATACCACTAAAGAAACCCGCATCGTGTCAGGCAGCGATGCAGGCGTTAAATCTGTCGCAGAGCCGGAAACGTCAACTCCACGTTGGCAATTATATTTAGTTGGTTATTTTTTTTTTTGTGGTAATTAGAGTTTTCTCAAATTTCAGGATGGTGATCAAGGCAGTTCATGTCAGGTGTCGTCCACGATCATTTTATTGACCATGTTTTCATAAACTAAATGTAAGGCAAAGATCTTTATAGGATAAGATTCCGTCGCCAAAAGCCCTCGTGTGCTGAACAGTGCGACGTTAATATTAAATCATATTTCATTCATTCATTTTTTAACCTTTAATTAAATGAAAGGAAACACTCTCCCAGTGTAACTGGCTTTTAAAGGCGCTGCGAAAGTCTCGTCCGCTGAGTGAGTGATCGAATCCAGACGCTATAAAATTTTACTCTAGCGAGGTAATGGTCGAACATGCCTTCTGCGTGCGTCTGGTGTGATTACGGAGAAAATGTTTTATTGCCGATTAACTTTCAGTCATTTTTTGGTTAAAAACCAGGAAAGCCATTTTGCGTGTTTGGCCGAGCGGTCTGCAAAAGGCGGTGCGTTATTCACACCTTTTTCCGACATCTCAATTCAAATCCCATCTTGACAATAAATTTTATTCACATCTTTCGTTCATTTAATCCCATTTGCTCATTACATTTTGACATTCATAAATTGAATCAATTAATCCTTCTTTCGAATACACCATTGACAATCAATTCTTTTTTAGCTTCTAACATTTAAATATAACGTAAAAATCCTAACGTGTCTATGGCTGACTGGCACAAAGTCGCAGCCATACTTCGGGGGTCCAACACGTCGGTGCCTAACAAATGAAATTTGAAATGCGCGCCCACACAAATGACGAAAATGCACGTTAAATCTGTCGAGAGGAAACGTCCTCCCGTTGGTGTGTAGTTAGGGAAAGGGGGTGCCAGCCATGACGGCGCAAATTATCGACCAACCAAAGTACGTGGTCAGTCGCCAGGTGGGGCTGAACAGTGCGAGTGAACCCGATCAATCAATCAACGTTTGACAATTATATTTCATTCATTCATTTTTAAGTTCTCATTAATTAAATGAAAGGTAACGTTTTCTCTCACGCTCAGGATGGCCAAGCGACTAAGGCGCTGCGTTCAGGTCGCAGTCCACTCTTTGCTTGGGCGTGGGTTTGAATCCCACTTCCCCTGATAATGTAATTTTATTCAGTCATTTTTTGAGGTTAAAAACTAAATGCAAAGGCAAAAGCTATTTTGGTGTGTCGGGATGGCGGAGTGGTCTAAGGCGCTGCGCTCAGGTTGCAGTCCACTTTGGGCGTGGGTTCGAATCCCACTTCTGACAATAAAAAATTTATTCACATACTTTTCTTAGGTTCCAAAAAACTAAATGTAAGGGAAAACTTCTTTTACATGTCAGGATGGCTGATCGGTCTAAGGTAATCGCGTTCATGTCGCTTTCCACTTCTGTGGGCGTGGGTTCGAATCCCATTTCTGACAATAAAATTTTATTCAGTCATTTTTTTAGTTCTCATAACTTAAATATAAAGAAATGCTCTCGCGATGTGTCAGGGATGGCTGAGTTGGTCTAAGGCGCTGCAATCAGGTCGCAGTGCACACTTGCGTGTTCGGGGGTCCAACCCCCACGTCGAGCAATTATAGTTTAGTTGACCGTGGTGCTTTGTTTTTAGTTCACATAAAGTAAATTAAATCTGTCGAATGAAACGTTAACAGGAGAGGGGGTTCACCATGGTTTAAAATTATGGTCAGTCGCCAAAACGGTCACAGTGCGACGCTGCTTGACCAACCCAAGTCGAGCATGTTATTTTTTTTAAATTCGAAGACCAGGATTGCGGACGGTGCGTTTTCGATTTCCACCGCTTTGTCGTGGGTTCGAATCCCACTTCTGATCATTTAATTTTATTGAGTCATTATATTTTTAGTTTTCATAAACTAAATGTAAGGCAAAGATCTTTCATAGGTTAAGATTCCCGAGTGGTCGAAAGCGCTGAGTTCAGGTCGCAGTAAAATTCCCCTGCAGGCGTGGTTTCGGATTCCACATTTGACAATTATATTTCATTCATTCATTTTTTAAGTTCTCTTTTAATTAAATGAAAGGAAACACTCTCCCACGTGTCAGGATGCCGAGCAGTCTAAGGCGCTGCGTTCAGGTCGCAGTCCACTTTTGTGGGCGTGGGTTCGAATCCCACCTCCCTGACATATGTAAATGTATTTCTATTCAGACTTTTTTGAGGTTAAAGAACTAAATGCAAGGGAAAGCTATTTTGCGTGTCAGGATGGACGAGCGGTTTAAGGCGGTGCAATCAGGTCGTAGTCCACTTGCGTTGGGCGTTGGTTCGAATCCCACTTCTGACAATGTATTTCTTTAAGTCATTTTTTGAGGTTAAAAAACTTTATGCAAGGGAAAGCCATTTTGCGTGTCAGGATGGCCTAGCGGTCTAAGGCGCTGCGTTCAGGTCTCAGTGCACTTCTGTGGGCGTGGGTTCGAACCCCACTTCTGACAATAAAATTTTATTCACATACTTTTCTTAGGTTCCATAAACTAAATGTGGTGGAAAACTTCTTTCACATGTCAGGATGGCCGATCGGTCTAAGGCGCTGCGTTTAGATCACTTTCCACATCTGACAATAGAATTTTATTCAGACATTTTTTTTTAGTTCTCATAACTTAAATGTAAGGAAATGTTCTCGCACGTGTATGGATGGCCGAGCGGTCCAAGTGCGCTGCAATCAGGTCGCAGTACACTTGCGTGTTCGGGGTCCAACTCCCACGTCGAGCAATTATATTTAGTAGAGTTATTTTTAGTTCTTATAAAGTAAAATTAAAGGAAACGTTTTCTCAAATTTCAGGCTGGCCAAGCAGTCAAAGGTGCTGCGTTCATGTCGAAGTCCACTCGGTTTTGGCGTGGGTTCGAATCCCACTCTGATAATGTAATTTTATTGAGTCATTATTTTTTTTAGTTTTCATAAACTAAATGTAAGACAAAGATCTTTCATAGGTTAAGATTCCTGAGTGGTCTAAAGCGCGGCGTTCAGGTCGCAGTAAAGTTCTGCAGGCGTTGTTTCGGATTTCGGTAAACTCCTAGGAGAGCCCCCACCCTTGGCGCCAAACCGGAAAAAGCGCCAAGCGAAAACGAAATGGCGCCAAGCAAACCCGACAACGGTTACAAGTAAATATAGCAGTATAAGATGGATGCGCAATGAAAATATATGTAAACAATACAGAAATTTAACATTTAAGATAAAAAATATAACAGCACTTACTTTCTTATTGTTGATCCTTCCCAAGTGGAGGGGTGGCCGCGGTAGCCGAGTGGTATGGGTATCGGATCGTGGCTTGCCTGGTCACGAGTTCGATCCCAATACCACTAAAGACCCGCCGTGTAGGGCAGCGATGCACGTTAAATCTGTCGAGAGCTGAAACGTCCTCCCGTTGGTGTGGTGTGGTAGTTAGGAGAGGGGGTTGCCAGCTCAGGTGTCGTCCACGTCACTTGACCATGGTTCAAAATTACGTGGTCCGTCGCCAAAAGCCCTCGTGTAGCTGAACAGTGCGACGTTAATATTAAATCAATCAAATCAATCAACCCAAGTGGAGGGTAAAGTGTAACTGCTTTTAAAAAATTCTGGAAAGTCTCGTCGCTGAGTGAGTGATCGCGAGACGCTATAAATACTCAGCGAGGTAATGGTCGAACATGCCTTCTGCGTGGCTGGTGTGATTACGGAGAAAACGTTTTATTGCCGATTAACTTACTATTGGAAAACCACGAATTCTTTCTTATACTTCTGCAAACATCATGCGTATTCACACCTTTTTTCGACATCTAAATTCAAATCCATCCAAAACAACTCTCTTTCGTTCATTTAATCCCATTTGCTCATTACATTTAGGACATTCATAAATTGAAGCAATTAATCCTTCTTTCATACACCATTCAATCAATTCTTTCTTGCTTCTAGCATTTAATAACGTAAAAAATTCTAACGTGTATTCACTTACAAGCGCAGCCATACTTTCAACCCGGTGCCTAACAAAATGAAATTTGAAATGCGCGCCCACACAAATGACGAAAATTCTAGAAAAAGTTAGGGTTGCCATATGTTGTATTTAAAAAAGCAAGGTTACCATGACGGCGCAATTATCGCCAACCAAAGTAATTCGCGCCAAGGGTGGGGGCTCTCCTAGGAGTGAACCCTGATTTCACGTTTGACAATTACATTTCATTAATTCATTTTTAAGTTCTCATTAATTAAATGAAAGGTAACACTCTCCCACGTTTCAGGATGGCCGAGCGGTCTAAGGCGCTGCGTTCAGGTCGCAGTCCACTTGTGTGGGCGTGGGTTTGAATCCCACTTCTGACAATGTATTTCTATTCAGTCATTTTGAGGTTAAAAACTTTATGCAAAGGAAAGCTATTTTGCGTGTCGGGATGGCGGAGCGGTCTAAGGCGCTGCGCTCAGGTTGCAGTCCACTTCTTTGGGCGTGGGTTCGAATCCCACTTCTGACAATAAAAATTTATTCACATACTTTTCTTAGGTTCCAAAACTAAATGTAAGGGAAAATCCTTTACATGTCAGGATGGCTGATCGGTCTAAGGCGCGCTCTCGTTCATGTCGCAGTCCACTTCTGTGGGCGTGGGTTCGAATCCCACTTCCTGACAATAAAATTTTATTCAGTCTTTTTTTTTTTTTTTAGTTCTCATAACTTAAATGTAAAGAAACGCTCTCGCACGTGTCAGGATGGCCGAGCGGTTCTAAGGCGCTGCAATCAGGTCGCAGTACACTTGCGCGTTCGGGGGTCCAACTCCCACGTCGAGCAATTATATTTAGCTGAGTTATTTTTAGTTCTCATAAAGTAAATTAAAGAATACGTTTCTCAAATTTCAGGATGGCCAAACGGTCAAGGCGCTGCTTTCATGTCGAAGACCTTCCGGTTTTGGCGCGGGTTCGAATCCCACTTCTGATCATGTAATTTTATTGAGTCATTATATTTTTAGTTTTCATAAAACTAAATGTAAGGCAAAAAGATTTTTCATAGGTTAAGATTCCTGAGTGGTCGAAAGCGTTGAGTTCAGGTCGCAGTAAAATTCTGCAGGCGTGGTTTCGGATTCCACATTTGACAATTATATTTCATTCATTCATTTTTTTTAAGTTCTCTTTAATTAAATGAAAGGAAACACTCTCCCACGTGCCAGGATGGCCGAGCAGTCTAAGGCGCTGCGTTCAGGTCGCAGTCCACTTGTGTGGGTGTGGGTTCGAATCCCACTTCTGACAATGTATTTCTATTCAGACTTTTTTGAGGTTAAAGAACTAAATGCAAGGGAAAGCTATTTGCGTGTCAGGATGGACGAGCGGTTTAAGGCGGTGCAATCAGGTCGTAGTCTTCGTTTGCTTGGGCGTTGGTTCGAATCCCACTTGACAATGTATTTTTAAGTCATTTTTTGAGGTTAAAAACTTTATGCAAGGGAAAGTCGTTTTGCGTGTCAGATGGCCTAGCGGTCTAAGGCGCTGCGTTCAGGTCGCAGTCCACTTCGTGGGCGTGGGTTCGAACCCCACTTTGACAATAAAAATTTTATTCACATACTTTTCTTAGGTTCCAAAAAACTAAATGTAGGGAAAAACTCTTTCACATGTCAGGATGGCCGATCGGTCTAAGGCGCTGCGTTTAGATCACTTCCACTTTTGACAGTAGAATTTTATTCAGACATTTTTTTAGTTCTCATAACTTAAATGTAAGGAAATGCTCTCGCACGTGTCTGATGGCCGAGCGGTCTAAGGCGCTGCAATCAGGTCGCAGTACACTTCTTGCGTGTTCGGGGGTCCAACTCCCACGTCGAGCAGGCCGCGGTAGCCGAGTGGTATAGGTATCGACCGTGGCTTGCTTTGTCACGGATCGAGCCCAGTACCACAAAAGACCCGCCGTGTAGGGCAGCGATGCACGTTAAATCTGTCGAGAGCTGAAACGTCCACCCGTTGGTGTGGTAGTTAGGAGAGGGGGTCCCAGCTCAGGTGTCGTCCACGTCACTCTGACCATGGTTTAAAGTTACGTGGTCAGTCGCCAAAAGCCCTCGTGTAGTTGAACAGTGCGACGTTAATATTCAATCAATCAATCATTCCACGTCGAGCAATTATATTTAGTTATTTTTTTTTAGTTCTCATAAAGTAAATTAAAGGAAACGTTTTCTCAATTTTCAGGATGGCCAAGCGGTCAAAGGAGCTGCGTGTTCATGTCGATTTCCACTCTGGTTTTGGCGTGGGTTCGAATCCCACTTTTGATAATATAATTTTATTGAGTCATTATTTTTTAGTTTTCATAAACTAAATGTAAGGCAAAAGAGATCTTTCATAGGTTAAGATTCTTGAGTGGTCTAAAGCGCTGCATTCAGGTCGCAGTAAAAATTCTGCAGGTTTGGTTTTTGATTCCACATTTGACAATTATATTTCATTCATTTATTTTTATAAGTTCTCATTAATTAAATGAAAGGAAGCACTCTCCCACGTGTCAGGATGGCCGAGCGGTCTAAGGCACTGCGTTCAGGTCGCAGTCCACTTTTTGTGGGCGCGGGTTCGAATCCCACTTCGGGCACAAAATTTTATTCACATACTTTCTTAGGTTCCAAAAAACCAAATGTAAGGAAAACTCTTTCACATGTCAGGGATGGCCGATCGGTCTAAGGCGCTGACAATGTTTCAGAGGTTAAAGAACACATTCCAGCGGTCTAAGTCGCTGTCGGCAGTCCACTTCTGTGGGGGTTCGAATCCCACTTTTGACAATAGAATTTTATTCAGTCATTTTTTTAGTTTTCATAACTTAAATGTATAAAGAAAACTGCTTTCGCACATGTCTGATGGCCGAGCGGTCTATAACGCGCTGCAATCAGGTCGCAGTCCAGTTGCTGTGGGTGGGTCCAAATCCCACTTTGTCAAGAATTATATTTAGTCGAGTTATTTTTTAGTTCTTATAAAGTAAATTAAAGGAAACGTGCTTCTCAAATTTCTGGCTGGCCGAGCAGTCAAAGGCGCTGCAATCTTGTCGAAGTCCAGTTCGGTTTTGGCGTGGGTCCAAATCCCACTCTGATAATGTAATTTTATTGAGTCATTATATTTTTTAGTTTTCATAAACTAAATTAAGACAAAGATTTCATAGGTTAAATTCCTGAGTGGTCCAAAAAGCGCGGCGTTCAGGTCGCAGTAAAATTGTGCAGGCGTTGTTTCGGATTTCACGTTTGACAATTATATTTCATTCATTCATTTTTTAAGTTCTCATTAATTAAATGAAAGGAAACACTCTCCCACGTTTCAGGATGGCCCAAGCGGTCTAAGGCGCGGCGTTCAGGTCGCAGTCCACTTTTGTGTGGGCGTGGGTTTGAATCCCACTTTGACAATGTATTTCTTTCAGTCATTTTTTGAGGTTAAAAACTAAATACAAGGAAAGCTATTTTGCGTGTCAGGATGGCCGAGCGGTCTAAGGCGCGCAGCGTTCAGGTCGCAGTCCACTCTGTGGGCGTGGGTTCGAATCCCTCTTCTAACAATAAAATTTTATTCACATACTTTTCTTAGGTTCCAAAAACTAAATTTAAGTTAAAACTGTTTCACATGTCAGGATGGCCGATCGGTCTAAGGCGCTGCGTTGAGATCACGTTCCACTTCTGTGGGCGTGGGTTCGATTCCCACTTCTAACAATAAAATTTTATTCAGTTTTTTTTTTTTTTTTTAGTTCTCATAACTTAAATGTAAGGAAACGCTCTCGCACGTGTTAGGATGGCCGAGCGGTCTAAGGCGCTCCAATCAGGTCGCAGTACACTTGCGCGTTCGGGGGTCCAACTCCCACGTCGAGCAATTATATTTAGTTGAGTTATTTTTTTTAGTTCTCATAAAGTAAATTAAAGGTAACGTTTTCTCATATTTCAGGATGGCCAAGCGGTCAAAGGCGCTGCGTTCATGTCATAGTCCTTCCGGTTTTGGCGTGGGTTCGAATGCCACAATTGATCACATGTAATTTTATTTAGTCATTAATTTTTTGAGTTTTCATAAACTAAATGTAAGGCAAAGATCTTTCATAGGTTAAGATTCCTGAGTGGTCTAAAGCGCTGCGTTCAGGTCGCAGTAAAATTCTGCAGGCGTGGTTTCGGATTCCATATTTGACAATTATATTTCATTCATTCCTTTTTTAAGTTATCATTAATTAAATGAAAGGAAACACTCTCCCACGTGTCAGGATGGCCGAGCGGTCTAAGGCGCTGCGTTCAGGTCGCAGTCCACTTGTGTGGGCTTGGGTTCGAATCCCACTTCTGACAATGCATTTCTATTCAGTCATTTTTAGAGGTTAAAGAACTAAATGCAAGGGAAAGCGATTTGCGTGTCAGGATGGACGAGCGGTCTAAGGCGCGCGCGTTCAGGTCGCAGTCCAGTTCTGTGGGCGTGGGTTCGAATCCCAATTCAGACAATAAAAATTTATTCAGTCATTTTTTTTTTTAGTTCTTATAACTTAAATGTAAGGAAACGCTCTCGCACGTGTCAGGATCGCCGAGCGGTCTAAGGCGCTGCAATCAGGTCGCAGTCCAGTTGCGTGTTTGGGGTCAAAATCCCACGTCGAGCAATTATATTTAGTTGAGTTATTTTATTTAGTTCTCATAAAGTAAATTAAAGGAAACGTTTTCTTAAATTTCAGGCTGGCCAAGGGGTCAAAGGTGCTGCGTTCATGACAAAGTCCACTCGGTTTTGGCGTGGGTTCGAATCCCATTTCTGATAATGTAATTTTATTGAGTCATTATTTTTTTAGTTTTCATAATCTAAATGTAAGGCAAAGATCTGGCATAGGTTAAGATTCCTGAGTGGTCTAAAAAGCGCTGCGTTCAGGTCGCAGAAAATTCTGCAGGCGTTGTTTCGGATTTCACGTTTGACAATTATATTTCATTCATTCATTTTTTAAGTTCTCATTAATTAAATGAAAGGTAACACTCTCCCACGTTTCAGGATGGCTGAGCGGTCTAAAGCGCTGCGTTCAGGTCGCAGTCCACTTCTGTGGGCGTGTATTCGAATCCACTTCTGACAATAAAAATTTTATTCACATACTTTTCTTAGGTTCTGAAAAAACTAAATGTAAGGAAAAACTCTTTCACATGTCAGGTTGGCTAATCGGTCAAAGGCGCTGCGTTTAGATCACCTTCCACTTCTGTGGGCGTGGGTTCGATCCCACATCTGACAATAGAATTTATTCAGTCATTTTTTAGTTCTCATAACTTAAATGTTAGAAACGCTCGCACGAGTCAGATCGCCGAGCGATATAAAAAAGCGCTGCAATTAGGTCGCAGTCCACTTGCGTGTTCGTCCAAATCCCACGTCAAGAAATTATATTTAGTTATTTTTTTCAGTTCTCATAAAGTAAATTAAAGGAAACGTTTTCTCAAATTTCAGGCTGGCCAGTCAAAGGTGCTGCGTTCATGTTGAAGTCCACCGGTTTTGGCGTGGGTTCGAATCCCTTCTGATAATGTAATTTTATTGAGTCATTATTTTTTTTAAATTTTTCATAAAACTAAATGTAAGGCAAAGATCTTTCATAGTTTAAGATTCCTGTGTGATCTAAAGCGCGGCGTTCAGGTCGCAGTAAAATTCTGCAGGCTAGGTTTCGATTTCACGTTTGACAATTATATTTCATTCATTCATTTTTTAAGTTCTCATTAATTAAAATGAAAGGTAACACTCTCCCACGTTTCAGGATGGCCGAGCGGTCTAAGGCGCTGCGTTCAGGTCGCAGTCCACTTGTGTGGGCGTGGGTTCGAATCCCACTT